GAGAGAGAGAGAGAGAGAGAGAGAGAGAGAGAGGGAGGGGGAGAAGTTTCAGTCAATAACAACTGTACGTACATTATCTATAAATATAAATATTTTCTTACTTTTATTTTTTGTTACATTTCACTTTTGAATGGCAATCAAACACGAACATACCTAAAGTGGCTTCTTGTACGGACACTTCCTACACAGCCAAAATACAACATTGAGAGAACACTTTCAAATTTTGGACATACCTAAAGTGGCTTCTCCTACGGACATCCTAAACGGTTCAAACACAAAACTGGGAGAACAGTTGCTAAAAGAACAAAACTGGGAGAACAGTTGCTAAAAGAACGAAACTGGGAGAACAGTTGCTAAAGAACAAAACTGAGAGAACAGTTGCTAAAAGAACAAGACTGGGAGAACAGTTGCTAAAAGAACAAGACTGAGCGTACAGAGACAGAACGTATCTGAAGTGGCTTCTCGTACGGATATTTCCTACATTCCAAACACAAAACAGGGAGTATACAGTTATACAGTTTCAGAAACTGAACGTACCTGAAGTGGCTTCTCGTACGGATATTTCCCGCTGAAGTCAAAGAAAAGTTTGGCGCCAAGAATCGCGCCGAGCCATCCGTCTGGCCTGTAGCGCTTCTGCATCATGAGAGGGATGTAGTCCTTGCGGAGCTGGAACGTGTACTCCGCCTCTGTGGGGGGCGGGGGGGAGTCACAGATATGGTCATTGTTTTAGTAGAGTGGGTTTTTTTTTAGTTTAGTGTTAGTAGAGGTTTTACGGCGCTCGCAACTGCATAAGGTCATATGAGCGCCAGAAGATTAGAAGTGTTACGAGAGAGTAAGAAACATAAAAAAACAAGAAGGGAGATAAGGACGATAAATGTTTCATAGGAAAGAAGAAGCAAACCACACCAGAGCACCCGCCAACCACACATGTAGAGGTTTTACGGCGTTTGCAATTGCATAAGGTCATAATATTATGAGCGCCAAGGGGTGGATGTCAACAGAGAAGTCTAAATGGGGAATCAGGCTTACTCTACTCACCTCTCTAGCCTCAACAGCACAAAGTCTGCTTCAACTTTGAAGGCACCCCGAAATAGCAGTTCACAAGAGAGTGACAAGCATACAAAAGAAGTAGAGGAAAAATGACGATAGTAAGGACGAGGAAAGGAAAAGCAGCAGTTCCCCATACTATGTTCTTCTGGCACTGTATAAGCATGACATTGATAAATCAGCCCATTTACAATTCTACTGTGTATAAAGACTTGTTAATATCCGCACATATACATACACACACACACACACACACACACATACACACACACACACACACACACACACACACACTATATCTCACCTGTTCTACAGTTTGGGCTCTATTTATACCTCTCAGACA